GTAGTAGTAGCAGTAGTAGTAGTAGTAGTAGTAGTAGTAGGAGTATTGTCGTCGTTGGTGTTGCTGTTTTTTAAATTAACAGTAATTAAGAAGTGGTGAATTTGTTATCAGAATCAAGGACGTCAACTGTTACATTCCTAAATGTCATCTTTTCTTTTTTTTTTTTTTACAGGTTTTTTCACCGTGATACGTACGTAATTCCATTTTCAACATCTTCAGGTTCTGTGCAGTTATGTTGACGATGTTGAAAGTGCTGGTGGTGGTAGTAGTTTAAAACACAGAAAGCAACAGGGGAACAAATTTGTCACAAAATTATAATCTTAGTTGGGTGATGGGTAAAATTGGATAGCATCAGATGAAATATTATCTTGAAAATTTAGATAGCCTTTAGCTCAACAGCAAAAAAAAAAAAAAAAGTAACGGTAATGAAAGTATTCTTTGATAGGATAAAAAGTTGATAATAAAGAAATTAAATTTTTAACTGGAAATTAGTGGGAAGATAAGAAAAGAATTTCATCTTCTTCGTCTTCGTCTTTTTTTGTAGCGTTTTCTGTCTACTTTTTGACTCATTATTTTTCACTTTTTATCAATTTTTTTCTGAATATTTATATAACTTTCTTCATCTCTTCATATTCTTTCATTCATCATCTTCTCATTATTTCAATTTTTTGTTTTTCTTTTTTTCTTTCTTCTTGCTTTCTTTGTTTACAAAAATTTTTAGTGGAGGTAATTTTTATGTGGCATTGTCAAAAAACAGTTTGACAAATGCCACAAATCGGATTGTTATTTTTGGTGAATTGCGGCTGAGTGGAAAGGAGTTGAGAAGGGAGAACTGCAGGGGAAGGTGCGGGAAACGAGAGGACGATGAATGAACACGGATGAGGTGAGGTGAAGGATGGCAGAGGAGAACTGGGGAGGCGAACTGTGAGGGAAAAAAATCAAAGAGAAGTGAACCAAAGCAACGAAGAAATGAACGAAGCAAAAACTGATTTCATGCAAGACAATTCTTCCTCTTCTCCTTCTCCTCCTTCTTCTTGAAGGCCATTTGAATGTTATTATTGGTAGTTCAGCGGTATATATTTGGTGTACAATGAAAAAGACGGGAAACAAATTAATGAAAAAAAAAGCGAAAAAAATACCAACAATTATTTCGACTGAACAAAAAAAAAA